TATACAAAGTTTTTTCAACTAAAAGTACTAGGCTGCTTGCACACACATGCACAGAAATGAGTGATAAAAAAGGGATAAAATTATTTCCTGTTCCTGAATGCTACAACTTGGGCATGTTTTGTTTCTATAGACAGCGTGATGTTGAGCAATGGAACAACAGTTAAAAATCACTCCCACTTGAAAGAGTTTCAAATGAAATTATGGCTTTGTCAGCTATTACTGATTTGATTACATTTCCAAAAAAATAAAAATTAAACATTTAATTGCTAAAAATTCCTCCAGCTATGAGTAATACCTGTTGCAAACAATCTAATGTGAGAAATCGTCAAAAAAGAGAGAGTCAATAATATTTCTATTCCCTTCAAAAGAGAGATGGCATTGTTCCCAGACTATTTGTTTCACTGCGTTTGTGGATCAGGTGAATGTTACTTGGTCTGAAGATTTTTTTGACATTACAATTTGTTCTCATAGTATGCTGTAAACATGTACAGTAGATGATCGTAAATGAGACAAAAGTCTGAGTATTTTGAGTGAACTCCATCAGTCCGAAAACAAATCAGCAGGTGTGGATGTAATTAATACCCAAGGAATGTGCTCGGTCCTGTGGGTCCACTCCCCCCTGCCCTCCCCCACAGCTCTCATTCCCTGCTGCAACCCACCTGTCAATCACACACTGTCCTCAGGGATTCCCCTCATCTGTTGAAATCCTGAAGCGCTTACATAATGTCCTGAATGTTCCCGCTGAGGAAATTCATGCTTGATTCAGCTGACTGATGTCTGTCTGCCTGCCTGCGCTCTCCTCTCATCCATGCCTGGACACTGCATGGAGGTGTGGAGAAAAAAACAGAGCAGAAAGGTGTCAAGAGAGAATTACACTTACACATAAGAGCTAATTAATGTAGAGAAAAAAAGCAGCATGCGTCTAGACTGGCAGGGGAAACTTAAAAGAGTTTGCTGAAAGAGCCCCTCTGGATGCAGAGAAAAACGGCATAGTGTTCTGTTAAAAAGAGCATAGACACTGTCTGCTGGGAGCTCTTGCTTAAGAAAAAGATTAGCGCTATAGTTCAGCAGGGCTCAGTACAACTTTACTAAGATTGACTATGGTGTCAAACCGTGGTGTTTCTGGTTTTAGTTGCCCAGAGGTTTCTGCTTCAACTGCTGTAAATGGAATTGAATTTGTGGTGCCCGCAGCATTTAACACATTTAAGAATTGTATTATCTTTGTAGAAACAGTGTCTTAGTCACTCTGGATAAGCTAAACACTTGGCATGATACCTCCAGGACTAAGTTGGAGAATATGTTTTTATGTTGGATGGTAATGTTTGTCAGTCAGTCCTCCACACCAGACTGAAATATCTCAACTATTGGATAGATTGCCATGCTATTTTGTACAGACATTCATGGTCCCCAGAAGATGCATCTTACTGACTTTGACCCCCAGAGTTTTAATCTAACATGTTTCCCTCAGGATGGATTATAATGACTTTAGTGATCCCTTAACTAATGTTACTGCTATTAAAGGACTGAGGTTAATGGCAGGTTTAAAACCTGTGTTTTGATATATTTTATTCTGATGATATATATTCAATATTCAGTTGTTAATGTAGCTGCATGAGGCCAAACAGTCAAACACAATGATTATCCCTGTGCTCCACTAATTTTAATGAGGTCTTATTATTATTATTATTATTATCATTTCAGGTTCAAAATTTTATTTAGGGATTGTACCAGAAAAGATGGTTAACATGGTTTAATTTTCAAAAAACACCATATTTTTGTCATTATTGCAGCACCTCTTTTCACCTTGTGTGTTCAATGCTCTGTTGAAGCTACAGAGAGAAGCATCTCACTTTTATTTGATCTGTGTTGGGAGTTGCACATGCGCAGTACCTAGTCAAGGACTACTAGCCAATCAGAAGCAGAGTAGGGCGGGTCCTGTCAAGCAAGGCAGTATCCAGCATCCATTCTAGACTGGAGCAAGTTGTTTTAGAGTGGTAAGTTATATGTCATACGTATAACTGCATTTCCTCTACGTCAAAGTAACAACTTTATGTCCATTGACTGCCTGAATGTCTCTAACATTATTTTTGATAGGATATTTTTATTGCATATTTAGGTGTTTGATTGTGTGCCACACAAGCTGCTATAGGAACATTATGATGCGTGATACATAGTGATGCATGTAGATTACGGAAGTAAAGGCTGGACTACAATCGAGCTGTTTTCAGGCAGTTCAGGAGTAGTGTTTTCTGTGGTAACTCCCTTTGGGGTGGACGTTGGGCTTTTTCACTTTGCAACCCTATTGCATGCACAGAAAAGAAATATAACCCAATAAAAGACAAGTTAAAAACTGCTTGCTTGCCAAAAAGCAAAATACCACCTCTTTAACTGACCCTCTCTAATTTACATATAAACCCTGCAATCTTCAGGAAAGTGGAGGTTTGAAGGTCTGACCTGAGCTTGAACCCTGCAAATCTAATCTCAGGAAGATTCATACTGCATCTCCGATGCCCCATCACCAGAACTACCCTCCCCCTTTATTACAGATACAAAGCCATTCAAAGAGGAGCCATAAAACAAATGAGCTGTGATAGCATCTTCTTGAATACATGCGCTCAGATGTATTGTTTGTGTGTCGCTACACAAATCAAAAGATGTCACCAGTTTGTGCAGAATGCAGCGATGTTGATATTCAGTTTGATATTTGTAAGCTAGCGGTTGTGCTGCTTGCTCTTCATATCCTGCAGCCTATAGGAGAGCCTTCTCTGCAGTAGCTGTGCATAGATAGATCCAGTGGCTGTCACCTGTAATGAATCACTAGCTCTCAGCATCACGTCTGTGCAGCTTGATAAGACCCTCTACTTTCAGCATATCTCTCCTATCACCTCAAACACGGAGAAAAAAAGAAAGAGGAAGAAAAAAAGAAAAGGCTTATTTTCCTCTGTGTGCATTATTTCTGGTGCTGCCTCGTCAAACAATCGCATGTCCCCCTCCACATACATTAGCATTTTTATTAGCACGTAGAGGGTAAAGTGGATTATTTACTGGCCTGACAACCCCCACCCCTCTTTACCAACCTTTATGCTGCATGTTGCCGGAGAGAAGAAGAGAAATGACCCTGACTTTCTGCGGGAAAGCAACAGCAAGAGACACCTGGACTTTAAAAGCAGGGCTGCGAGGTCATCAAGGCTGCTGTCTTCCCCCCACAGTCACTTTAACAAATATACGTTACCAGACAGTCAATTCAGTCAAACAGTATTAAATTGGAGTCAACTGTTTTCATTTTACTACAAGAAGTGTTTGATATACGGACAATGGTTACTAAAGACATATCAAATTACCATATTAGATATCGGTCAATAGAAAAATTAAATGCAAACACATCTTCCATAAAATGGAGCATTTGTTAAAGTATATAATTGTCTGTTCAATCGAATAGCAGCGGTTGTAACTTAATCTTTTTACACTTAAGTTTTGTCATGTAATGTGGTTCCCCAATGTTTGATATCAGAGACCGACCTATCATAGACTGTCTACACCCAGACACATGGACTATCACAATTAGAGTTGTAAAATGGAAAACTATACCTTCAGTCCATTCAAAACACAATCAGATTGATCTACAGGGTTGAGTTAATCGATTCCAGCTCTGCTGTTTATATAGACTTACATTTTATGTGTCCTCTCAGTGACCTGTCGATAGCTGGGAAATAACAGAACCAATTTCAGTTTGAGCTGTGTTACTCCACTGATGCACTTGGAAAGCACCACTTAATGATGATCAGCTGATGTTTAGCAGCTGTGTGTGTATTTGCGTTCAACTCTCTATGCATGCCTGTGTATATGTGTCCAAGACCAATGCAATACAAGGCCACTGATACCTGCATTGTCACTGGGTGTCAGACCAATCTAACAGCAGAACAAAAACAGTTAATCTTTAATATGGTGTAATTTCTTTCATTAATGTGTAATGGACACAGTGTACAATTGGCTCCGAGTACCTGTGCTACAGCTATGCTTTATCTGTTTTATTGTGATTAAATGTAAACCTTTCAACGATACTTGGACTTTGAAATTGATCTCCAGCACTTGCATTAAAAATAAAGGCAAAACCTTTAATATAAAAACATTACCAAATACTGTATAGTACAGTAAGGACTTGGCCATATCACAATTAGTTAGGTTTAGGCAACAAAAAAACTTGGTTAGGTTTAGGAAAACATCATGGTTTGGGTTAAAATAACTACGACACTTAACTGTTAAATTACATAAGTTATGTAACAGTACATAACTAAAAACAATCAATATTTTTTTGTGGTTTCCTGGGTGAAAGTCACTCGTAGCATTCAAAAATGACACAGTTGGGCTACTCCTAGTGCTTTGAACTATGACTGTGATGCTAAAGGGCTTCCCAGTGCATTACAACCTGATGCCTTGTGGTCTTGCGTCTATGTGACAACTTGTGAGTGAGAACAGGTTGTATTGGTGCATATATTAGCTAGTGAGAAACAAGAGATTGTGGCGCACATGCTAAATATTTGTTTGAAATAATTTAAAAACGGTATTGCCATTACATAATTTGTCCACCAGAGAACACTGTAAACTGTCCTAACTGTCTAAAATGTCCTGCTCAGTCAAAGATCTTCGTCAATAATGTTTGTTTCATATTATGTATTTATGCTTAACAAATTGAAGTCTAAAATATCAGCATTGTACTTGCCTAAAAAAGAAATGGGGGCAAAATCCCATCAATACCAGTCGGGCAATAAATGTAATTCAGGTTTGGTGCAGCGAGTCCAGTTGTCTGGTTCTCTGACATTTGTTTGAATTTGAAAGCTATGTGTGTTAAGGGTATACATGCACGAACGAGTGCAAGTTCAAATTTTCTCCTCTTTCCAAAGTGCGATATGTGTTTGATTCACTCAGCAGTTTCACTAACAAACATTTTACTCTAGACTTTGAGTTCATTTACATCTTCTTCTCTCCCTCTCTGTTTCTAGGTAGCATTGTGTATCTGGGGATGATGTTTGGAGCTTTTTTTTGGGGCGGCTTGTCAGACAGAGTGGGCCGTAAACAGTGCCTGCTGATATCCATGTCTGTCAATGGCTTCTTCGCCTTCCTCTCCTCCTTTGTCCAAGGCTACAGTATGTTCCTCTTGTGCCGCATGGTGTCTGGCTTTGGGTGAGTTCACTCTTCTCTTCTCTTGAATATTTTTCTGCTTTACACCCTGTCCTCCTCAATGTGTTCGAGCGAGCAGAGCCCCTCTGAGGGCTTCTCCCTCTCCAGCCTGATATGTCTTCCCACCGGTTCCTCTACTGCCTCCCCTCCTCCAAAGTCAAAGCACATGACAGAAGGTTATTCTAACTGTCTGGCACCAGCCCATCCTCCTCCCCTGAGTGGGAGAAGAGAAGGAACAAAGCAAAACAAAAAGGTCTGCAGAAATGAGCCAAGCACAGTAAATGAACATCTGTGTGTTTTAATGCTGGTGTTGATTGCTTGGTTGCCCACATCCTTCATAAATGAAGCACCCTCCCACCTCAGTGATCTGATATGCCTGTTCATATATAACTTATACAGGTCACCTTTATGTCAAACGTCAAGCTACTGAGCAAACCAATTTACAGTAAATCATATGAAACATGAATAACTGTGGGACACAGTTTATACCATAGCATTTTTAATTGGACCAGTGGTGATGACTTAAGCTGATTTGGGTCTATGATGAGCCAAAATGGAAATGAAGGTCAGGTGAGGCTGTTGTGAGCTTGCAGACACTCGTGTGATTAGTCCAATGGCGGGTGGTTAGTTGGACCCAAGTGCAAATACAGAGTACAGGAGACGTTGTAAAAGCCTACTGGTTTATTACTGGTTCATGATGGCTGATGTAGCTTGACATGAGCAGGGGCAGTCTGGTTGCTTTTGGCGAGGTTCGGTTCCTGAAACAAGTTTGGCTGTAAATCCCAGCAAAATGGTCACTGGCGTTCCAACAAGTGCCATGAGATGTAAGGAATAATCTGGCGACGAGTCACAAGAAGTCCGGGGTATTTAAGCCATGATTTGATTGGACGATGAGGAACCAGTATGTAGCTGCGCCAAGTGCCCAAACTGTTGTCAGGCACAGTACACACCTACACACAACTACCAACACACACAGACAGACAAGAGGGAAGGAGAAAACATGGGAGACACAAGAAATACCCTAGAGCCACAGCCTTCTGCCAGAACACTCAGTTTAATCACCCTGTTGTGGCAGTAGAGTTACCTGATTTGCACTTTAATTACAGATGTATAAGCTTCTGTATGCAGGTGTGTATTTATGGTGGCAATAAAAGAAATGTATTAGCTGTGGGAATATGTAACATTTTTGTGGAAATCTGCCTAAACAGATTTTCTAAGGAAATGCTGGGTTTTCCATCTTTTTTACAACCTCAGTCTGGGAGAAAGTCGATCCAGCATCGAGGTGTTGTTGCAAGTTAGACAAGATTCTGCTTGTTTCATTAAGATAGTCCTTACCTCATACATTTTGCTACCATTGTATGTCTCAACAAATAGAAAAGAGAAAATGACAATTTGTCAAGTCACACAGACTGGGTTTCAGTGACCTTTACAGTAATGACTTGAGCAAAAGTTTATAGGAACAAATTGTAACTAAGGACAAGTCATTATAACTCTATGATTTTTTTTTTTATCTTAGAAAACATATATTTATATATATAATTATAAGTCAAACAAATTTGATCTAACCAATCTAACCCCAAATCAAAACCTGAGCATTGGCCTACTACATTCAAATGTGATGGTTTGTGTAATGCTGATATTTTTGAAAATTTGAATTAGCTCTTAGTGCATAGATGCAGTTAGAAATCAAAATATTAGCTCAAGTGAGACAGCTGGGCTGTAACATTATTTTGATTTATAGATATTGTGGATATTTTGTGTGTACGTGGACAACTAAAACTAGACATTTCTTAGATAAAGAGCCCCGAGACACAGGGAATATGATCTACAATCTGTTGAAGCCACAGTCTGTATGAAGTTCAATGATCGAAATAAAAAACTGATGGTAACCACAGCTATAAAACAGATTGTTTTGTGTCCTCCCACTGATGTACATGAGGGAGAGCAGCACCTTACAATATAGTACATTAGAAACAGCAGTAGAAAATAATTAATACTTCTTTCACACAATCAACTGTATGTAACAAAGGTACAGTAGTATAGTATTCACTACAAGGCTATTGTATCCGATTGTGTTATATTCATCAATAGAATCTTTAAGCAGGTTAAAAGTAAAATGGATGGAAACTGATCATTCAGCTTTCATGATGTCTGCACCACAACAGAGCAACTTGTTGCACAGTACAGATCAGACTTTAAAGCTGCTTTAATTAAGTTTTTTGTGTTAACAATGGAACAAACGACTGACATTCTGACAGTAGAGATAATCAAACTCTGCAGTTCCTGTTAGCTCTTCGGATGGTTTTAGTGTTTTTTATCTCCTTGTTTTGGTTCACTCTCACCGCTCTCATCAGCCTCATTTTTGGCCACAGCAGGTAACAGCGTACAGCAAAAAAGCTCTAAAAACCACAGACTGTATATAAGCATTAAAACCTGCATTCTTTCTAATGACCAGCAGGGGGCGACTCTACTGGTTGCAAAAAGAAGTCAGATTGTGTAGAAGTCTATGAGAAAATGACCCCATTCTCACTTGATTTGTTACCTTGGTAAACACTTTTTTCTATTGAGTTTATGGTCTCAATCGCTAGCATGGCAAGTAGCTACAGTGACCTGTTAATCAGGATAGGCGTAGCAATGCATATCCTCCCCACTCCCCAGCTCCTCCCTCTCATCCATATATGGTCATTTCTGGTTCCAAAAAAGCTTGATGGTGTCGGCCAAAAAGCCAAACTCAAAATGGTCGTCCACAAACCAGTGGATGAGGTCACGGTAGCGACACCCACTTCTTTTATATAGTCTATGCTAAAATCCAACTGTATTCTACCTGCCTAGGAATGATCAACAGAGAGAAAAGGTTAGTTGGTGAACATACTGAAGCATTTTGTGGCCAGCCAAGAGCCAACTATTTCCCTCAGGAGTTAGTAGAGACCATATCCTGTGTTTCTTCTGATTAGCACATTTCTAAAACTGTCAAAACACTACTCCTGAAGAGGTCATGTTATCCTTTTTGGCTTGTTTCCTCTCCTTTATTGAGTTACATAACTTTTTTGTGCATGTATTAGGTTTCCAATGTCAAAAAGCCCAAAGTCCACCCCATCTCCCAGAGAAATAATGTTGACACAAAAAAGCAGTTTCACTCTAAAGCTGTATACTCACACAAACTAAAAATTAAATTATATTGTATTGTTTTGTAATGGAAGTTGAATGGGCTCAAGAGCCCCAATAGCTAAAGGGAAGCAAGTGAGCAACTAAAATAAATACAGCATCCTTTAACACACAGCAAGTGTAAATGCTTCACACTTGTGACATCCTTTTTAAGTTGCCACTTCGCTGGAGTCCATCTCGACACTGATCTCTTCTTCTTGAATTCATTCACTTGTGAAATGGTTTGTCATTTGGTTTTTAATTTTCTGACATGTTTTTTTAAAACTCTGTAGCTGTGAAACAAATCAAGCAGAGAGTCATTGCAGACACAGATGGGCTCCTGCTGACTCCGATCGACACCTCACTGATGGTCCAGTTCAGTGCAGCTACACCTCGCATTAACAGAATGATGTGACATTATGTAACTGTATTAACATGGGTTGATTGTAAAGTGAGACATCATTACTATAATGAAAACAGGAAAAGGAAAAGTGAAGCTGCATTAAAGATTTAATTATAGTCTGTGTGCTTCAGTATGGTGCATTTTCATTTTCTTTGGTCAGTAGATTTTTCATCCAACAAACAATAAATTCAACCGGACTGTGCCTCTGCTTTTTGATTATTATTATTATTAGACTTTATTGTCCACCTTAGTGGAAATTTGTCTTCGACTTCTCCGAACAGATATACAACAGTGACACCGCAGTTAAAATTACATAATAAATACACACAGTTAAGAGTACGACACTGTACCACCGTCAACATACAACAACAGAAAATGGAAAGCAGCGCGGCTGATGGAAATAAAGTAGGTTACGACCTACAATAAACACATTTGAAAATGCTTTAAGTTTAAATTCAGTGCCTGTATGGCATGGGGAATAAAAGATCTCTTATAGATGTTCCGGCTCGCCCTTGGGACCCTGAATCGACGGCCAGATGGGAGCAACTCAAACTCTGAATTTAGTGGGTGTAGGGTGTCTGCTGATATCTGTCTGGCCTTCCTGAGTACCGCCCTATCAAATACATCCCCAGGCTGCCTTTGTGACTTGCCAATCACCTTCCCTGCAATATTAACAATTTTGGAAAGCTCGTTTTTGTCTTTCACATTCAAGTTGCCATACCAAGCTGTTATATTCAACTGTAAAATGCTTTCTACCAGGCCCCTATATGCCATCTCAAGAATGTGGTAACTGACCCTAAAGCTCCTCAGCTTTCTAATTAAAAACAATCGCTAGTTAGCTCTCTTAAAAATACTCTCTGAGTTTACATTAAAACTTAAAGTGTGATCAATGATTGTACCCTAGTACTGCCGGCTGTTAAGTACAGCAGGGGTGATGTTACTGGCCCCTCTTGATTTCGTTTGTATTATAAGTTCTTTTGTTTTAGTCACGTTAATTTCCAGTTTAACAGTCTGACACCAGTCCTGGCTAAAATAGGCTTCCTCATGTGCTGCATTATTTTCTGTGAGAAGTCCTACCAAGGCCATGTCATCAGCATATTTAAATAAACTAACATTGGTGCTGTGCACAGTCATCTCATTTATATAAATTGAAAACAGCAGAGGTGACAACACACAGCCTTGTGTTGCTCCAGTATTTATAACAGCCTCGTCTGAGTAGACCCCGTTCATTAAGACTCTCTGAATGAGCCCACCATTCACATTCATCCTACAAAGTTGTTCTAAAAGAATATCAATCTGCACAGTATTAAAAGCATAAGTAAAATCAATAAAAAGAACCCGAGCAAGTGATTTTGGTTGTTGTAGGTGTTTAGCTATTTGATTCACAAGAGTAAGAGTTGCGTCCTCTGTGCCCCTGTGTGACCTATAGGCAAATTGAAGGGGGTCCAGTTGATTCCCAACAGAGGACATAAGATGGGTGCTGCCCACTCACTCTCCATACACTTGGCTAAGAGTGGAGTGAGTGCCACTGGTCTAAAGTCTCCAAGGGCTGTAGCCTTAGAGACTTTAGGCACAGGTATTATTGTGGATTGCTTCCATGAGTTTGGAAAAACACCACAATTCAGCAAAATCTGAAACAGCTGAGTAAGAATCCCTTTAAGCTGTTGAGAGCATACCTTTAGCACCCTTCCTTGGAGGCCATCAGGCTCAGGGGCTTTGTTTGGTCTGATTTTAGAGAGACATGTATATATAGGTATAGGTTAGACAGTAGGCAAAAGCAATGTGTTTCATTTAGGAATCTTTCTTGTGACATGGTAGCCTTCTGCCCCAGCCTAGTTATGCTACACTGTCAAAATCACATTTCTCCTTAATGGTCAATATAAGTTAAATATATTAATACAATCTAAATCTAACATGCCCAAAGGCTAATTACATACATTTACCTAACTTATGTACAGTATTTTGTCTCATGGGCTATTGAGTTATGTAAATTTGTTTCAGATTCACAGTTCATGTGCTCATTTTGACAAAAAGAGAAATGCAAACCAAATGATCCCAAATGATTTTCTGTAACCATAAATCTGTTCTGCATGTTCATAAATGTTTATCATCATTCACATTAATATGATTAAAAACAGAAGCATACATGGCTAATTACAGCAAACTATATTTGCAGGATTGGTGGAGCAGTACCAATAGTATTCTCGTACTTTGCGGAGGTGTTGGCTCGGGAGAAGAGAGGAGAGCATTTGAGCTGGCTGTGCATGTTCTGGATGATTGGAGGAATTTACGCCTCAGCCATGGCCTGGGCCATCATCCCACACTATGGTGAGTGATACCTCTCACTAATGTACCAATCATAACAATGCCACACAGGTGAGCACCAAACACCACTTTCTGAGGCTTTGATTTTGATCAGTCTTTTTTAGTTTGCCTGTTTTGAGTCCACCTATAAAACCTTGGCAGCTGTCTGTGGATATTTAATCTGCTAAAGCTAGATTAAAGTGCATTATAATAATAATAATGTGTGGAGGAGATAAAAGCATGAATCAGCGAATGAGAGTAACGATCTTGGGTATATGCCTTAGTTGATTGAAACAAGACTGCACTGCTGTAGTCCACTGAGCTTCAAATAACGGCTCAGAGTTACAAATTACACCAAGATTAGAGGCTTCTAGCTGTTAGTAGCAGTAGTAATAGTTTTAGATATGTCACCCGCACTAGAAGTTACTTGGAGTCATTCAACTGTGGGGAATTTCTGGATATCCAGAATTACGTATAGGTTAAAAAAGAGACAGTCAGAACTGCAGAGGCGGAGATATCTTGGTTTTTACTCCCTACTATTGGTCAAACACCAAATATGCTAGATCTTACATTTCCTATAATGCAACTGGATAGTGTGTTTGATTAAACCCCTCCCCCGCCTTATACGTAACAAGTGTAAGTCACTTTGGATAAAAGCATCAGCTAAAAGAATAAATGTAAATGCAAACTTCCAGTTATTAAAGCAGGCTTTCTTTTTTAAAAAAAGTCTCAATACCAAGTTGAGATAACCCTAATGACATTGTCAGGGTAATTGTTTCAAACCTTGGAAAGCTCCCTGCAGAGCTACTGAGAACATTTCTTTTCACAGGCTGAGTAGTTCTCCTCGTAAACATCAAAGTTGGCAACCCTTCACTGTAAGATCCGCAAGACAAGAGATGATGGAAGACACGTCACTAGTGCCAGGCATACAGTTAATGACCGATATATGTAACATTACAGTACAGTACATACTCCATGTGCAAGAAATGATGCATGAGATATGTGTTTTTACAGAAGGGACACAGAAACAGATACAGACAGTATACAGAAACTGAAAATGCATAGTGTAAAGTAAGGACAAAATGACTCAATGTACATCTGCTTTCAGCTCCAGCGACCCAGGTTCCAAACCGCAGAAGTTTCCCACTGTCAGGAATCACTCGCATCACTAGTTTAAACATAACTGCAAATAGAGATGGCAATAAAGTTTGACTAGGCGGTATGGTTCTACTTTTGATGATGCCCCCTTGCTGTAGTGATGCATATACATCGCAGCATGATAGCTAACATGTAGAGAGCACTGCAAATAATTCCTTTCATTTAGAAATCAAGACCCTCCAGGGTTCACACAAACACAAAGAAGGTGGCAGTGTAGGTGGAGGCTCTGACAATAGCAGCAGCTGAAAAGGCAATAAAGCACATGTCTGCCTACATGGTAAATATGTACATAAAAGCCTTTTAAATTTGTAACAGAATCAGTGTACTGAGATACACAAGGGCGTGGCAGGCAAGCTGTCAGCTGACACAGCAAAGAAGGATGAAATGTTGAGCCAGAACTATGTCGTTTTAATTATAAGGAACTTTTTACCATAAGCAAAACCTAAATGGATCATTGTTTATTCTTCACAGAACTGAGGTCCACAATGCATTTTCTGCTTAGTCAGTATTTGTGTGTTCATTTCATGTAATTTTATGTGACAGTGTAGGAGGTAAATATATATAACAGAAGGAAAAAAAGGTTGGCTGATGTAACAAATCTCATAACATATGGTGAAGGAGAGCTGGAGGATAACAAAGAAGGGAGGAGGTGTGTGTCAGAGGATAAGAATAAAATGAGTAAAATGAAATCAATCTGGTGTGGAAGGGTGTGGACGAGGAAAGAGGAACAGAGAAAGAGATTAGGAGGACAAGGGAGAAGGAGAGGTGGAGAGTGCGTTTGATTTATGTGGCCTCTGTCAGGGATAATCGAAAGGTGAAGGGAAACTGCAGAGGGCTAAAGGGAGGCGGTGAGAGAAAACAAAGAGAAGGACAGAATGAAAAGGTATTAAAGGAAAGAGGGGGGGGAAAGGATGAGTGAAGAGGAAGGGTTTCTTTGTTTGCCATTTTCAGGGCCATGTTGATCAGATATAATGAAGTTTGCTCTTGGACCCTGGCCATCAGAACACCGTGTGTGACTCTACAATGCCCGGGCCCCAGGTTGATTAAGTACCTCGACCAAGTGGTATTCTTATCTAGAATAAAGTCACAAGATCAATACAAACTTCACTACAACATGTAAAGAAAACTAGTTGATGAAGTGGACTCTTCTTCAGTTTGATAACATCACCATACTGTGCAGGAAAGACAGAACCTGTTGCTATGGCTTCCTTTGAGAATATTTTTAGAAAAGATACATATCAAAACATAAATATGAAATGTTTGATTAACACTTACCGTCAAGTGCCTCATTTTAATGTTATGATTATTAAGATGTCTGTCCTGCTTGAGTTATCGACACCCTTAGTCACTGGTGGTAACACTTTTTTTTAGCTATGTCAGTGTACACAAAGCAGCAAAGAATAACGGCGTGGCAGGCTGTAGGCTTTTACAACCTCAAGATGAGCTTACTGTGAAGGAAACTGAGGGCAGCGCAATGCAGAACAGCGTGACATGATTTGTTTCTCTTTACTGCTCTAATGCTCTCAGCTCTGCTGCTAAACGTTACCAAAGTCAACTAAACTCATTTTGAGCCTGGTACAATCTCCTGGAGGAAAGACAACACACAGTGGCACAATGCAAGTTCCACATAGAGATGCAAATAAAAAAGTAATGGTAGTGGTAATACAAATGATAATAAGACTGATAATAATAATTGTAGCAGTGGGTGTCGGACTCCTGACAAATACCTGCTGAAAGCGACAGAAGAACTGTGATCAATGTCGCTGATATCAATGACATAAAAATAAAAAATAGTACACTAGATCAAATGCTGCATCGTTTCGTGTAAAGGCACTTGCCGGACTACTAGAGGGGTAATCAAAGAATGTAAATACATTGAATGGGTGTTGCTGAGAAAATGCACAGGCTTTGTATATGTGTCATTTTATGTACTAATATGTACTGGTACTCTGATCACCTTTTTATCCTGTTCTCATTGTTCCCACTTGTTGGTGATTATTTCCTGTTACCTTTGTGAAAAGTATTTACGGCAACAACACAAATATATATATTTTTTATATATATTTTTCTTGTGATATCCAGTCACGCAGATTTGGTTTTATGTGTTCAGGTTCTGACACATTCTGAGTGTGATTGATAAACAGCTTATTTTTTCCAGAAAAAATATTCATGTTACTCTTGATAATCTAACTTTCAATAGATTTCTTAGGGACTATTTAAATTAATTGTGACAACAGTATTTATTAAAATTATTATTTTCCTTTTGTGGCTTGTTTGCCTTCAATAATTACAGTATAAACACCAAAATAAGAAGTTATTTTTAATGAGTAAAAAGAAAGTGTGTCCGCACAGGCTCACAAGCACATGGACAAAGGTAATTGTGTCTCTTGTGCCGTAACTGACTCTGAAGTACCTAAAAGTATAAGTTTCCATCCAGCGTGAGAGGGCCGGCTGAGGCTCATAATTGAGGTCAATTGATTAGACGCCAGTGTTTTTAACACATTTTTTCATCAAGATGCAGTGGTGTGTGGGTAATAGGTTCTGCCGCAGTGCTCTTTGTATTGACTGGTAGACAAAGCCCAGATAACTGTATGTGTGTGTGTGTGTCATTTTGTCTCTTTTTAGGGTGTTAGGAATGTGACACAGTAAACTCCAAGAAAATAATTAGTAAATTCTAAGAAAAGAGAATCATGCAGCCAGTGTGTTCATGCACACACCTAATGCATTAAAATTTGTGTCACAGCAATGAACGATGGCCAAGGACAGCGTGCGTATGTGTGTGAGTATGTTGTATGTGTGTGAGCGTGTGCAGTGTATGTGTGTCTCAGCCGTGCTCACTTACTGTAGAGTAGGAGCATAAATCTCGCTGAGTATTTGAATCAGTTAGCCATCCCCTCCAGTCCATTAAAGCTATAATCCCCCTAATGAGGTTTGTACTGGTACAGGCTGGAGCAGCCCCACGGGCCACACACAGACACACAGACACACAGACACACACACACACACATACGTGCTAACATCCATGCCAACATACTTTCCTGATGCAGATCGTCTTCGTTTAATTATGTTTTTTTTTAGCACTTTGAATTTGAAAACACAAATAACAGGAAACAACGCTTTCTAGTTATCAAGTATGGACAAATTTCAGACACAATTTCCCATTATCTTCCTATGTAACGGACTTCTAAAATCCTTTGCTGGACACAGACATACACATTTTAAAACTGTTGGAACTATTACAATTTGAACAGTGTACATACAATTAACATGAACAAATGCTTTTGTGTCTGCTACTTTTCACAGTTAAAAATTTTAATCATATTTGTTTTGAGTTTAACAGTTTAAATGCTTCCGATGTCATTCCTCCATTCAGAAATAGTCACAGGTTGACTCACACACAGCTCTCTGTCTCTCCCTATGGCAGTGAGCACTGCTACAAATATTTCTTAGAGATTCTTGCAATACTTGCTATATTGTGCTTCATCTACTGTATGTAGTACACATTATTCTTTTGCCAAATATATAAAACAGCCAATGTGGGACATGTCCTTGAGAGGGCCTGGAGGCTCCTTCTCAAGAGCAACAAACCTCACAGGAACTAAACTAATGAGGCATTCAAGCATTCACTCCTTACAATTTTGTAAAGGTAAATATATAAATATATATGTATTACCAGTAAGTGATGACCACACAGAAAAGACTTGGCTTTCTTGACTGGATTATCCCCTTAATGAATAATGTCAGAGACGCAGCACTCTCATGATCTTAAGCCTGAACACGGCACTTATCCCGTTGTGTCTCTCTCCGTGGTTCTGAAAAGTTCAAACACAATATCTTTTGAGTCTCTCTCAATGGTGGCAAAACATTCAAACTCAGGCTTAAGCTCCAGGACCCTATAGCAACTTCACAGAACACCCTATTGTAACCATTTGGACATGAACTAACAATGCTGATCACCCTATGAGGAACCCACCACCATGTCCTTGTACACATCCTAAATATGCTGTCCCAAATATTTAGAAAGAAATGTTGCCTTTTCTCATATCTATTGCAATTAATAGAAATATTCAGGTGAGATAATAACAGGGTGAAATTGAAAGAGAAAATAGGAGAGAGAGTGTAAGAACGATGTATCTACAGATTCCAACGGAGTGTGCACTGACACTGGGGAAGCATTTGACCTGCAGGTAAATTAATTTCATTAGCTTGTAGCAGAGAAACACATGTATGTTTGTTTCCATTAAGAGACTGAAACATTAATCATGCGGTCCGACTAACCTTTACAGACAGAAAAAAATTAAAAACTGAAACTACAAGAACTATAATGTCTTATGTCTTTTCATGTTAGCAGGATTAAACTCTGGCCTGATGCCATGCTACATTATTTCTGACTATACGTGTCTTTCTATGCGACTGCTTCTTTGCACAGGTTGGAGTTTCAGCATGGGTTCAGCCTACCAGTTCCACAGCTGGAGAGTGTTTGTGGTGGTGTGTGCGCTGCCGTGTGTCTCTGCAGTGGTAGCTCTCACTTTTATGCCTGAGAGCCCCCGCTTCTACCTGGAGGTAAGAGAGATACAGAGGATATTGTGCCACACACGGAGGCAATTAAGGTACTTTAAACATGCCTGATTAGGCGGATAGGAACTGCTAATAGCTCAGTTGACATACTTTTAATCATGCCAATCATGCCAATACAGTGTCTCACATTGATAACCCCTGCATTAATGTAATTTGCAACTCATAAGCACATATGACTAGTGTGAACACTGTAAATATGTATTGGTAAAATATGCTCAGAAATATGATGGCAAACCTGAGTCACGACATAAGGAGAGTATAAATAGAACCCCCTGCGAAAAAGCCAGTATGGTTGACTAGCTCCAGCCACTACATGATGAATGGGGAGATCCTGTGTGTATGTGGATGTACACATAATATTACTTATGTTTACCCATAGATGGGTAAACATGACGAGGCCTGGATGGTGCTCAAACAAATCCATGACACCAACATGCGTGCCCGTGGAGAGCCTGAGAGAGTCTTCACTGTGAGTACACACTGGCCTCCACACTTGCAACCTTCTTACTGCTGCAGTGCCGTCGGCAGGTGACAGATCAGTGTCTCCCCCTGCAGGTGAACAGGATAAAAATCCCCAAACAGCTGGACGAGCTGGTGGAGATGCAGAATGAGTCAGCCAACCCTGCACTCAAGGTCCTCTTCAAGATCAAGGCTGAGATCAGAGGAGTATGCATCTTTTTTGTTTTGTCACGGTATATTATCTGCTCAATGTTTGTTTGTTTAGATTTAAATTAAGTAAAAAAATATTTTCCCTTTTTTTAACAGATCTGGCTGACGTTTATGAAATGCTTCAGCCACCCAGTGAAAGACAACACTATAAAACTGGCTGCAGTCTGGTTTACTCTGTCTTTTGGGTAAGAGATTTTTGGCACACATCCCCAGCATTACTTCTACTCCTCTCTATCATATTATTCTGTGCTTCTGTCATGTTAAATGACACCCTCTGTGAGACTTAGCTGAGTCACCACTACTTTCCAGCTTAATAACAGTTTCAATGAAGTACTCAGCACTTAGGCAGATGCTCTCTCACTTCCTCTTGATGAATGTCGACAGGTTAGATTAGAGAGAGAGATACCTGTTTGAGTGAAGGTGTCATTTGGCTTTGATTGTCAGTTTTTTTGGATCCTGTAATTTTCTTTGACTTGTCTGCTGTTTTTTGACTCTTGCTTCTTGCTCCACCACAGAAACAGGTTCAAGATTGTTTTCTTTCCTATTTAATTTGACTCCCCATCTCAAAAATACGAATAAACTAACTGCACTGCTGACACAATCTGGCCCTTTTCTCCTCTGGAGATGTACGCCACAGCCAATTACACCATGAGCAGATGGATCATTTCTCTCTAACTTATGTGATCCTCAGTTATTTTTACATGTACCTACATTTACACATAAAAATACACACACACATTTAGTTGAATTTTGCCTTTGATGAATATGTTGCTCAAAACCACTTCAGGCATATAAGATACTACAACCATTGCACTAAATCATACCTCCGATTTCACGTTCTGCCACCTGAGCCATAAGCATGTTTGGGACGGACACTGTCTTCTTCTTTCTGTGTGTTTGTGTGTGTGTGTGTGTGTGTGAGAAACAGACAGTCTTCAAAAAAGGCCTGGTCTCACCAGAAAGTGTCACAGTGATGTAAACTTTGTGCAGTTTATTCATACTTGATCCCTGAAAGTGAATCCACTCATCGTGGTAATTCCATTTGAATGAATTGATGTCACCGCAAAATGTTGCCATTATAAATGCTGGTGTGAGTGAGCCTTAACATAAAAAAAAACACAGCGGCAATCCTGCCAGGAGTCTTTTTCACACCTAGGACATTTGCATTTTCTATCTTGCATTTGAACTGTGGTCATCCCTGCACAACCCTTTGCTGATTGGTTTACCACATTCATTTCCTATCATCAGAAGAGATAGGTTTGGCTGCTTTCAAACGGATCCATGTCCTTGATCGCATTAACATGCATGTCATTTGATTTGATACATGTTGTATTATAAATATATTTATCATCATGTAATGTTTTCAGTGTTTTTGTAATATATTTATGCAAATATATACAGACGCACACGGTAAGTCTCTAAGAAAATCAAAAACAAATATAACAACAAATCTAATACTTCACACAATATGACAGTGTCTTTTGTTGAATTCAAAGTGACTTTACCAGAGTCAGCTGAACTAGAGTGTCTTATGTCAGTGACCACATGTAACACACCTTACTACAGAAGCTGTTGCTGTGTTTAGGTTCTATGGACTCTCTGTGTGGTTCCCGGATGTCATCAAGCACCTTCAGGCTGATGAGTATGCTTCCAGAGTGAAGATTCACAACAGTGAGCGCATTGAAGACTTCACCTTCAATTTCACCCTGGAGAACCAGATCCACAGAAACGGAGTCTTTCTAAATGACAGGTAAAGGCTGGGTGCAGGAACTGTCTCCAGTTTGGATTTAAACATTTTCCAGTGAGTTTCAGCCCCCACCTTTCTCAGACAAAGGGACTAATCATTAAGAAAGGATTAAAATCACCTGCAATGTTACACACTGTTATCCAATAGTGTTGTGGTTTAAAGCCTCTTGTCCCGTTGTGGGATAGCATTACTATTCGCCATTCCCGCAAACAACACACCGCTGCAGGTAATATTAATCCTGCCGGCTTTATCTCCCACACCACCAGGAAATTAGAAGGCTTATCGTTCTCTCTGTCTTTTTTTCTCTCTCTCTCACCCCTACACACACACACACACACACACACACACACACACACACATCTTTTCCTACTCCTCCTGTTGTGATTCTCACTTACACCATGTCCTGAAAGAAGACACATAGACATGCTGTTTTTGTTCTTTTCCACTCTCACTGTAGACCAGGATGCATTATTATTAAGAGATTAAATCAAAACCAATACCATGACACTGTGTACAACAGCATGCAACAGCTCATATAGATCAATAACAGACTCGTAAGCCCTGTCATATCACTGTGGACATGCTAAAGGAGGGACATGCTGGTATTTATAGAAGTACTAGCAATATCACTCTGTAAATATTGAAGTAAAAGTCCTGCATTTAAAATACAAAGGTTTTAGCAGCAAATGTACAATCAAAAGTAAAAGTACTTGGACCCTTTCAGGTTGTTACGTCATATATTATAGGCTATTGTTGTATTGTTATTACTGATGTATTAACATTTAAAGTCACAGCTCATTTATGAGCCCTTGGTGATTGCTTAATTAATGGTTTAATAGTGTGTGTGTGTATATAACGATGCAACATATTTTGTAAGTAGACCACATGTTTGTATATAAAATCTTTAAAGTAACTTGAGCTGTTAGATTAAGGGAGAGGAGAGTTGTAATGTGCAACTGTTTCCTCTGAAATGTTATGGAGTACAAATTTAAAGTAGCATACAACAGAAAGAAGTACATGTACCTCAAATTTATACTTAAAGGTCCAGTGCATAATATTTAGGAGGATCTATTGACTGAAATGCAATATAATATATTACATATGTTTTCAGTGGGGTTTCAAGACCTTATATAATGAACCGTTATGTTTTTATTACCTTAGAATGAGACATTTCTATCTCTATACACCGCTAGTCCTCTTACATGGAAGTCGCCATGTTGCGCCGCCATGTTTCTACAGTAACCCAAAAGGACAAAATGCTCTACAGAGCACGTTTCTTCACTACGCTTAATTTGTACGAAGAAGAAGTAGTAGTCGTTGTAGTAGTAGTAGTAGTAGTAGTAGTAGTAGTAGCCGTCTGGTTAGTTAGAAGTAAGAAGAGAAGAGAAATTTGGAAAAATGAAGGATCACACGTATTAATTAGCACAAGAGCCGCCACCGTAGCTTGTCCTATGAGCTTGCAAAGGGAGGGATGAGTGGTGACTGAGTTGTTGGTTGCAATTCGCAACCCTCACCACTAGATGCCACTAAAACATACTCACTGAACCTTTAAGTGCTGCTTACAGGTCGTGAAAAAAGTTTAATAAAACTCTCCAGAGAGATCTGTGTGAAATCTAATAATGTTATGTGGATCACTGTTGGGGCTGAAGACTACAAGTTTGAAAATGAAAAAAATCTTGGGGTGTAGAGTTAGAAAGAAGTGAGACCTCTGTAGCCCACTCCTCATCTCTGCCCGAGGTTTGCAACTCGAGGCTACATTATCTGCTGCTAGCCGCAGAATCTGTTGGCGAAGGAGTTGCTTTGAGGGTAATGTAGGTGACAGGTTTTGAAGGAAGAATGCATGGGTAAAAAACACAATGTCATTGGCTCTGCTTTATTAATTTTGACCCCTCATTGTTTTAAATAACATTTAATAATAAGAAGGGAAATAATTCAGGACCAATGCCATTGCTGTCAGAAATATGTTTCTATATATGTTAAATCACTGTTGATCCTGCTTTAGTTATTCTTTTGATCCTTTTTACATATATTCATTTCCTCCACTGCCGCCTCCATCTATTCTCTCCTTCTCTTCCCAGGTTTATCGGAATGAAGTTCAAGGCAGTCACATTCATTGACTCATCTTTCCTCAACTGCTATTTTGAAGATGTCACCTCTGTCGGATCTTTTTTCAAAAACTGTACCTTTGTAGACTCCTTCTTTTACAACACGGGTAAGTGTACACCCACAAAACTAACTCACATTCAGAGCATTCTTCTCCAGCACTGAGCTATCTGCACTGAGGTATTTCCTTCCACCCCAGAAAATCCTATTATACTATAGGTGCATTACACATAAGTCTTACTCAGTTTCTCTGTCTCTTTCTGACAGTTCATTTTGGATCTAACGTACAAGCTTCTAGGGAGAAAAAAATGGGTTTGAGCATTTATGGTTTTGCTTTATGCCACTAAATTGCTGCTTAACCTCCCCTGCCCCTGCGCAGATTGCCTTTCTGAACTCAGGCGACTGTCACAAAGAAACTGAGCCAAGCTGGGCTGCATTGAAAATGTCCATTTCTAACCACACAAACACTCCTGGAGTGATGTTTTTTATGTTTTAGGTGCTTGCAAAAATTTCAGGTACACTAAGGTAGACAAAAAAAGACTCTGTGAGCAGCTGAATTTTAACTTCTATGTTGAGCATTCACTTGCTGATTTATTCCTCACACAGTGTTTTGTTTTGATACAGACATTGGAACCAAGGTGTCTCCATTAGCGCCCAAAACATCAAATCATACCTTTAATAAATTCAGGCTATGTTATCAAAGTGCAATCCAATGATTTTGGGGCTCACAAAAACACAAGCAGGAAGAAAATGAAAGGCAGGCATTTTAAATATTCTGAGAGAAACTGGAGCTGAATCAGACCTTGAGGGAGCACAGGGTGGAAAAAATAGTTCCCTCCAGCACTCAGGAAAGCGCTGAACATGGAAACAGTGAGGGCACGTCAGGTTGCTGGTAATGCCCCATGGGAAATAAAGTCTCTTTGCCCCCAGCAATGTGTCTCAGGAGAACAGAGGATAAAGAGAAATGAGGGGAGACAGAATGAGAAAGGGAGGGAAGAGTGTGACGTCAGAGCAGAGGTGAGAGCAGGGAATGTTTTCTCTTTGCTGCTGCTGAAGTTTATTAATACACTATTTCTATTTAGGGAGAGAGCCCATAGACCTTTAAACTATACACAATATTACAAGATTACAGAGTATATCCTATTAGCATTATATGCATTTGGTTAAGAATGGTTATTGTAATGAATCAAATACAAATATACTAGTGCAAGTTTTAATAAACATGATAATCAAACCTAGAAACGGGGGAACAGCTAGCAGGCAAGTAAATCTGTGTACCAGATTATCTGTTTGTATAAAAAGTAAGGTGTAAAAACAATGTGGTTATGGTTATCAGACTATTTCTTGGGGAAGTAGCCTGCTTTGTCTGGTTGGTTATCCAGCCTTGAACCTCAAAGACACCTTAAGAGGAGTCTAAACCATCAAGTTAAAATGAATACCACCAAATTAAACCACTAGAAAATTAAAACAAATAACACATTTATTTTTATATTCCCCATCAGCTGGAGCCAGAACAGAAGACAGAACATGTAGTTTCTGCCCCAGAAAGCTCACTCAAGTTCAGTTTTTCCCATTTTTATCTAAGTATAGAAGGAGCCAGGCAGATAAAAACATATGCTAATGCGTTATTTAAACACAGTGTGAAAACTGTACTCTTGTCTCTCACATTTACAGATATTGACGACACTAAACTAACAGATTCAAGGGTGATCAACAGCTCCTTCCACCACAACAAGACAGGTTGTCAGATGACATTTGATGATGATTACAGTGCCTACTGGGTCTATTTTGTCAACTTCCTGGGAACACTGGCTGTGCTACCTGGAAACATCGTCTCTGCCCTCCTCATGGACAAAATAGGACGGCTTAGCATGTTAGGTATGACATAACAGCGTCTCTGGTCACTGAGGACCTGCGCTGACTTTTTGTTTGGGCTATGAGTAGCAGCCTTTACTCTCGCAAAATGTTTTGATGTCTTCTGATGTTGGTGTATCTGCAGTGACCTCTGGTGACGTAAACGGGGCTATTTTGTGTCTGACAAGCATAAGATGTGTCGTTTTGTGTCCTGCAGGAGGCTCCATGGTGCTGTCAGGCATCAGCTGCTTCTTCCTTTGGTTCGGCACCAGTGAGTCGATGATGATCTTCATGCTCTGTCTCTACAACGGCCTCAGTATCTCTGCCTGGAACTCCCTGGATGTGGTCACTGCTGAACTATACCCAACAGACAGGAGGTGAGTGCTGCACTCACTGCATACAGAATTCGGTAATAGCATTAGCTTTAATGAATTTTTAAAAGTATATATAAACCATTTAAAGGTATATAGCATTATTATAATTCCCTTATCAGCACATCTGTGCTTTATCACTGGCCAAAACCATATGTGTATTAAATGTTCATTATCTTATTCCAGGATTTAAAAAAGCAACTTTCACTTTCCCGAATTTGTACTTTTAGTCAGATTTTAGACAAATTATCCATCCTGGATATCTGAGATTTTGAGACTGAAATCTAAATATTTAAAGAATTAAGTTTTAACATTTCCATGAAAACGTTTCCAACCACAAATTTTTTAAAAGTTTTTTTTAAAAGTTTGTTTTAGACATACATTGAAGCAGGATTGTGCAACTACATGGCCAATTTCCCACATCAGGTAGAACAAGAGCAGAATAAACATAAAGAACGTATACTTCCATCATTTAACATATTCTTTCATAAAAAAAAAACAAAAGGCTGCAACATAATAACTACTTCAACGTCTAAAGAAATGAAATGACACATACATACATATCTAACTCTCTTCACTGTGTCTTCCTTGTTTTCAGGGGCACAGGCTTTGGCTTCTGTAATGCCATGTGTAAGCTGGCAGCAGTGCTGGGCAACCTGATATTTGGCTCATTGGTTGGCATCACCAAGGCTATCCCTATCCTGCTGGCATCATCTGTGTTAGTTTGCGGCGGGCTTGTGGGGCTTCGACTGCCAGACACACGAGCCAATGTCCTCATGTAAACCTCAACACAGAGCAGTATGTTGTTTACCAGGTATTTACTCAGTTTACTGAGTAATCATTCATTTATAGACTGTCATTTATTTGAATATCACTGAAACAGGCTTTGCTGTCACCCTTCTTGTATTTATTATTTGATAAATAATGTTGACTATGTTCACAAACTAAAATGATTGTTATTCTGTTATTTCTGAGTAAAATACCTGGTGAATAATAAAGGATACTGATATGCAGTTTAAGTTAACAATGAGCTGTAGATATAAAGAGTTTGAACACTACAATCAAAGGTTAGAAATGTTAGAAGTATCATGGCTCTTGCAGGAATTCAAGATGAAAAGGCTGCTTCAGAAACGATTAAACAGAATCATCTCCTGATAAAACTCTGTATATCAGCAGCTCATTATCTAGCATGAGCTGTTTCACACATGCAAATGCATATGTCAAAGCTGCAAAAGGCCTGGACTTCTGACAACCTTCCCCCTCCGAATCCTGCTCAGTCTTGCTCAGATTAAAGGAATAGTTTAACATTTTGGGAAATAAAGATAATTCAAAGTTACCATCAGCAGCAGTTAGCTTAGCTTAAAGACTGGAAGCAGGGGAAACCAGGTAGCCTGGCTGTGTCCAAAGGTACATTAACAAAATCTGCCTACCAGCACAGCTGTAGAAGAGCAAGTTATGTGCTGGATTATTTCTTGGTCTGGCTCAGGATCTTTGTGGTGCTGTGAACCAGTTTGTAAAATTACAATGTGATATTCTCACACTTGTTTTTGAATGTGTGTGTAAGTGGATTAAACAAATGAGATGTTGGCCTAACATGTTAATTAGTGAGCTTTACAGGTGCTGGTAGGTAGAGTTATTTACATATGAAAAGAGCCCATCTAGCTAGTTTTCCTTTGCTTCCAGTCTTATTGCTAAGCTAACTGGCCGCTTGCACTAGCTTCATATTTACTGTACACGCATGACAGTGGTATCAATATTCTCATGTAGCTCTCAGCAAGACAGCATATAAGTGTGTATAGTACTACCAAATGTCAAACTATTCCTTGAAGTACAAATCCTTTTGTAACAGTTGTGTATGTGATTACGCGTGTATATCTATCTATTTAGTAATTTATGTATGTTATTTATTGCATCACCAGTGTGCTTTTATGTTTGTTGGCCAAAAATTTAAGGTGATTTAGGCCTCAATTTCTAAACCTGTGCTCGGTATTCCACTAATGGTTGATGATGTTCAAGCCTTTTGCTGCAATTTGCAAGAATGACAAGGCCATAGAAAAAAAAAATCTATAATGATATAGTAGTTTAGTCAAAACCGGCAACTTCAGCAGCTACATTTCTAAAGTGAAAAGAAGTTTACATTTTCTGCTTTTTACAGTAAGAGACTTTTGAGATTGGAAACCTTTTGTCTGAATGCTTCCTCTCTCCCTCTCGTGTCTGTGTTGTGTTCGTCTCGTGGCGTCAAGCTCCCCATGAAGGGCTTTGCAGTCCGATCTTTCAAGAAGAATTTATACTCATTACACTGCCATTACAATCTGCTCTTTTCCTTGTTTTTGTTTTTTTTCTCTCAATATCTGTCTCACCATCTTGGTCTCCTCATAGTGTCTCTTGTCCAGACTTGTCCTCTTGTTGTGTTTATCTCCTCCTGCCTTGCTGCTGCTCCCTCCAAAACTCAAAGGCCTTTCTCAAATGTCGTGCCTCTCTCTCTGTTGAGCCTGTCTCTCTTTCCAAACCTTGCTGGAAGCTTTGCTGCTCTGTCCTGCTTTTTTTTGGTCTGTCATCTCTTGATACCGCAGTGTGTGTGTGTGTGTGTGTGTGTGTGTGTGTGTGTGTGTGTGTGTGTATCCAGACAAAACAGATACAATGATAATCTCATATGTAGAAAGCCAAGTTTTTTGTTTTGTTTTGTTATGCTTTTTTTCTATACCACGAAACTGGGTGTTTGGGGGGATTTGAACTATACGATAAAGTGAAATTAAAAGCCATGCTTAAAGGATCCGTTCACCCAAATTCCAGAAAAAAAAACATATTTACCTGTCATGCAGATAGTAAATGTGAACCTCATCAGAACACACAAGATGAAAAGTCAGGGGATAACCAGAGTCAGTAGAATTCATCTTCTGGGAATCATGGATGTTTGTACAAAATTTAATTTCATCCAGTAGTTGTTGAGATATTTCTGGAACAAAGTTGTGGAACGAAATTCCCTTCACCTCCATTATATTGAGGTATAGAGGCAGAAATATAGAGGGTATGGTTGTAACATGGGGAGAGCTGTAACAATATCAATTCCACCAATTAGACGTAAGATAGGAGTTAGGTGATCATTTACCTACTTCCTCCCCGATCAGGCATGGTGGTTATCAATTCTGGAAACAGACACATTCAGAATAGATTTTTTGACCAAGACTATATTTTGTTTAGTATCTATACTATTGTAGATAAATTTGTATGACTTATATTAGATTGAAATGTAGATTCTTAGGCAACATGTGATGCACTTTTTCCTTTCTAATTTCAAACCACTATGCTAATAGTGGTAGACAGGGGTGGGGTGGGTTGTTACACTTCTTTAAAAAGTGTAACAACCATCCACCATACACACAATATCCACCATTACAGAGTGCCCTTTACAGTCTGGGCTCACCAACCCTGCCCTCCAGGGTTTCCAGCATTCATTTGTCAGCACAGTGACCAGTACTCCCCATTCACATGTTGTTCACATGTTGGCGGGTGTATCAGCACTCAATCTTTTCCATACTCTGTCTCCACCGGTGGAGAGGGCAGAGAAGCGTACGGGCAGCTTGTGAGAAATGCGGTACGCCGAAGAGTAAAATAAAGAAGTGCTTGTAGTGCGTACCGGTGAGTACCGGCCCACTTCAAGCTCTGACTGTGACTCTGATTAAGAATATACACACATTGACAGACACAGACACACACCTCTTTTAGTTAGACCTAAGGATGTACAGAGATATTCTATAATTAGGTACATTTTAGTGGTACTTACAGTATACTTTAAAGTAAGCTTATTCTATAGATAAATTTACATACACATACTGTACATGTGTGTGAGTCATCAGACATAATCTGTTACAGTGAGAGAGAAACATTGTTCTTTTATTTCACTATACCTGTTTTTGAAGTGTATCATATAGTGCGGCATCTATTATTGCTTTTTTTGTCTTTACAAACTTTGTTACAACTTACTCCAGCATGTGTTATGATGTTGTAACACATGGATTTGACATCAACTCACGAGGTCTGTGATATTCTTGTAGAGGATTGAATTGGTGCCATTTGTTGTGAACAAATGTGGGTACTTTGTATAAAAGTTTGAGAATCTTGAGAAAGTTTGTTATAGATGCTCAAGCAAAAAGTGTTACAACCATACCCGGTCTCCCTTATCTGTGCAACTATCTGCATGGCTAGATACCACTTGAGCTAAATAAGAAATACATTTTTTTGTGGTTTGGGTGAAAAATCCTTTTAAATCCACTTATGAATGGGAATACTGCTGCTACAGTGTCAGTGCTGTGATGTAAAAATGCATATGGGAATTTGTAAAATAAAACACTAACTTTTTTTTTCTGGGATTCTTCAATCATTTAAAAAAAGTCACTTAACAAAAGTACAGTACTGTTTTATTCTGTTACTTTCAAATCCGTTTTATGATGATGATTTAGTGTCAACATACAGATTACCATTTCAAGATATGAATCTAATTTCCTGATGGGTGTTTGATGCTTTTTTTCTGTCTATCTGTATCAACATGTCCACCTGTGCTGAACAAGATCACTGTTTCCAAAAAGGAAATCCTGCATGTTTGTTATTGAAGTCCTTCTGTTGTGTGTGCTTTTTTTCCATTTTGGTGTCTTCGCTGTTCCTCTGCGGGGGGAAACAGACATGTGATTCACGGGTCAAAGGTGAATGTATCATTCTCGTGTGTTGTCAGATTTGTTGTGGACAGGTGTTCATTATAATGAGTTGACTTCTAGGTCATTGTGAAAGGGCATGCCACTGGTGAGATGACTGTATGTGCTACAAGAGGTTATGCAGCAGAGGTGGTCAAATCTGGGTTTGGGAAGGTTTCCAGTCAGATTAATCAATACCATAAAGTCACTGAAGCATGAAGGAAATAGCCGGTGTTGTGACTTTCAGATTTGAAAATCTCTGCTGTCAAACAATATATAGAGGTGTGTGTAAAAAAACAAACAAGCACCTGTCCTTGATATGATTTATTTTGATAAGAAAAGGCTCAAGTGAATGCAGTGTAAAGGTGGATTCCTCTGGCGTCTACATATTGAATAAAGAGTTTCATTTGAACCGCTGTTGGGCTTTTTTTTATACTTTGTACACTGTCCAAACATGGATGCATCCACTTACACCAGCAGATGGCATCATTTATACAAAATTAACCAAGACAGTCTTGCGTGTCCCTCAGGTTTTACGAGTCATTCAGAAAGACTGTAATGGAGCCTTATTTTATAGCTAACCACAGAATAATACAATGACTACTCATCGATGAGTGTTCATGCTTGTTTTGAGGCCATTTTAGGGGAAAAGTCTCAAAGATTATTTGTTTTAGTTTAGTTTATTTGAAATCACTGGTTCTAGCCACAGGGGCCAGACTGGGGCCAGGTGTTGTTTTCAATGGGCCAGCTGAATTAAAGCAAGACTGTAACTTTTACTGAACTGTGGCTACAAGTGGAACATTACAGCATAAAGGTATTAGCTAAAACATAGCTGGTGTAACAATCCCAACAAAAACAACAAGAAGACCAACCGTTGCTCAGATTATGTCAATTCTTATCAATTGCATCCAGTTTCCTCTCAGCTGGGAAGGAAACGGCAGCTCAGTGAGATTGGAGTAATTGCATTGAAATTATATCAGATGTAGTGAGGCTTTACATTGTAGAAGTCATTAAGCTGTAAGAGATTGTTGACATGGAACACAAAATAGCTTAAAAATAGTTAAGTTCATGTTTTAATCAGCAGACAGCATAGCTCTATATGTGATAACAGGAACACCGGGAGACCTATTTTCTGAAGTCTGTTTCACATTGTTCCTTGTCAGTTACATTGATATTTATATATTTCAAGCATAGAGGAAGAAAATACAAACATATAAACATTAATATCACTATATTTTCATTTCATCTTTGACATACATACATATATACATAAACATATCAATACATAGCTTGTTTATCATAAATACAGTCGAAGTCTTTTGTTTTCTCTTTGGATTCCAGCCACAGAGACAATTTCCCTCTTCATCACTTAATAAAAAATATAATTTAAAACCAGTATTTTGGAACCATGTAGGTCTCTTTTAGATAGATATGCTCAGGGTCTTGCCTGTAAAGGGTCTGAAGTGAAGGCTGGAGCCTGCAGACTTGGACATTAGGAGAAAGAGGAAGGGGTCAAGGCAGGCATGGAGGCAGCACAAACATACCGCCACTTTAAAGTGCACGTACAACCTCTCAGTTCCATGTACGAACAGTTGCAAATAATGGAGGAAGTGCAGGACTCCAGCCGGAGTGAAACACACCAGGAAGATGACAAACACCAGTGAGCTGGCCTTGATGTACATCTCCCAGTCGAAGTGTGATTGGTTGAGCTCACAGATGATTCGGATGAAGCACAAAACCGTGACCACCAGCGGCAACAGGAGGCCGAAGATGTTTAGAAACAGGTTGTAGCAGAGCAGAAAGATATGGGAGTCATAATCCAGAGGCAATACATCATGGCAGGTGGTGATGCCCACTTCCGGGAGGTGATAGCTCTGCTGGACGAGGAGCTCTGGAATCATGGCGGCACCAAACACCCCCCATATGACCAAGCTGACCCAGGCAGTCAGCCTCCTCTTGGGGAGACGCTTGTACAAGAACGGGTGCACAACAGCCAAGTAGCGCTTGATGCTGATGCAGGCCAGCGTCTGGGCCGAGCAGTAGAGGTTGCCATAGAAACAGGCCGTGACCACTCGACAAGAGGCCTCTCCGAGCACCCAGTGGTTTCCATGGAAATGGTAGTGAGCCTTGAAAAAGAGGGAGAGGAGGAGGCAGAGGTCGGAGACAGCCAGGCTGCAGTAGAAGATGGCAGAGGATACCTTCCTTATTTTAGTGGCCAGCGAGCAGAGGATGGCGATGTTGGCTGGGATCCCAACAACAACGACTAACAAAAAAATAATGGGGATGACCAGTGTGCTCAGAGTGCTGTGGAGGTACCATACTGTGCTGTTGCTTAGTGACTGCAGCTCTGGAATGAGAGCTTGTGTCCCATTTGGGACAAGAGAGAGATTGGCGTTTCTGACTGGGACCCCTTTAAATGTTCTGGGCCTAGCGAAAACCTCAGAGTTTTTCTGGGGCTCTATTACTTCACTTTCCCCTGCAACAAAAACAAGAAAATGCAAAAGTTAATGTTAATTACATTTCTTTTGAAAAACTTAACTCAACAATATACTAATTGGACCACATATAACACTTATTTTCATTATTGATTAATGTGTTGATTATTTTCTTGACTAATCTCATGTCAGAAAACAGCAAAACAATTCCCTTAAACCCAAGGCGAGACCTTCGGTTTCAACCAACAGTCCACAATCCAAAGATGTCACGTAAGACCAAAAAACACAATTGAGAAGCTAGACCAAGGAAATGTTTGACTTAAAGGCTTAAATGATTTATTGATTTTAAAAATTGTTTTTCTGTCAATTTACTTATCGATTAATTGACAGCCGTAATGATAATGCGCCATCTTCTGTCACAATAACTGATTTTAAAATTAATCAGTGAGTCACTACTGTGCAACTTGTGGCTTGTTGTTTTCAGTTTATCTAATTCCACAATCAACTCAACTAGAGAGCAAGTATTTAGAGAACTATTAATTATTATTATTAATAAGATAGATCTTTCCATCCATCCATCCATCGTCAACCGCTTATCCTGCGTACAGGATACAAGTAACATAAAAAAATATGGTAATAGAACAGTAGTCATCTCACCCAGAAGACTCATTCTTAAACTAAACTTTTATAAACACCACTTACCTTTATTTTGAAGTGTACCACTTAGACAGAGAACCAAAACGAGGAAAAAGAAAATAAGTTTCCTCATGATGTCTTTTCTTTGTTTTCAACTCAAGTTAGATAGGCAAATCTCTGTGTCTCTGTCTCTGAAAATCTTGCATTGCACTCAGCTGCATATTTCACTTCTGTATATTGTGGCTGCTCTGTGGGAGTGCTCAAGCTGCAAACACCTCCCCAAACATACCCTGTGAAAAAGAAAATATCTTGACATCTTATCTGATTCAACAGGAATGTGGGCTGCTCTTGGTTTTCGTTTTGAACTTGAACAGTGTGAACTTCTGACTAACGCCACCAAACATCATCTTTGTCAATCTATTGCACCATCCTGTGCTTTATGAGACTCAAATGTGACATTAAGGACATTATTTTTATGTATCTTTGCCATAACATGTTGTCTATGTTCTTTTGTACAAAAAAAATCCCCTTACAATATTCATTAAGCTTTTCCCAGTATTTTACAATATTGAATCTCTACTTGTTCAGACACTTTATTGGGACTATGTGGTGCTTGACTGAAATATTTAACTCACAAGTTAAATGGAAATGGACAAATTCACTTGTCTTTATTTCTATAGATGTCTGCCTGACACATGTGTCAAATGTGAAACTTTGGGATCTTTTTTTCCCAGCAATATTTTCCCTGGAGGGATGAGGGGTGAGGTAATAGTGCAGAAAGGGACAACTGAGTAAGTCCGGAAGTGTCTGTCTGAAGATGATAAGCTTTTCTGAACACAAAGAGTTTTGTTTAGTCTTCACTTCCTTCACCTCTTATTTGTCTTTTTAATGTAGAGATGTTTTATTAAACAACTGTCATCTTTTGGTTTCTATACCCTTTAGAAAGTTGTTTACTGATACTTCAGCTGTCAAAAATATAACATGTACGCACACGAACTTAGATTATAGCCAGGTACCAGGTGTTGTGACTTCAAGCTGGAACATGTGCAGCCAAATTTGTCTTATTTCCCTCCAGATGTCTTTTGTGATAAGTTCTATCAGGTTTTCAGATGTTTTTAATCTTACTTTAATATTTACAGGACACTTCTTCTGGAATGATAGGCCTACCATAACTTCCAGGACAGTTTTTGTGAGTATTTTTATGTGCACATCCAATGACTGTTTTATTATTCGAGCTTTATCTGAACTCTACATAACTAACATCTAGCTGAACACAAATGTTACCTCTGTCTTGTTTTCATCTAATCTGTTTGTCAGATGTGTAGTAAGAGATCTTTTCATTATCAGCATCCGTTTGACAGCTACCTCAGACTGACCTCATCTGTCATGTGGTGCCCATTTCCTGACATCTGACATCATTGCCCACAAGCAACTAAACACATCCCAGAAGACTGAAAATAGGATGAATCTGCTCTACAATGCAGTTGATATCACCAGCGATGCAAACAAAACACAAACATTTTTTTTCCATATTTGACGAGAAGCCTCATAAAATCAGAGTGGTTATGTTCTACCTGTTGTGTTGTAACTCATCGTGAGTTTTTAATGGCAGATTGATTCATGAGCATACAAAGTGAAAGCAAATGGAAGCATGATGATTTCTGAGAAGTGCACAGATGTCACACCTTTTTCTATCTAGCCTACCACCTCATATTTATGCGCCTTATCAGGGTGGTGATGGCACATAGATAAGATCCTTGCCTTTGGTGTGGGAGACCTGGGTTCGATTCCCACTGTGCGACATCCACCATTGTGTCCCTGAGCAAGACACTTAACCCCTTGTTGCTCCAGAGGCGTGCAACCTCTTACCTATATAGCAATTGTGGTGAGCATGACCATGCACCTCCTTCCTGTCTGTGTGACTGCAAAGCATCAACGGAAAACACTTGTTTCCTGTACCGTTATAGTAGTCATACGGTCTCTTCACATGCCACAGTACTGCACTCTGTTTTGTATTTTCTAAGGAAGCAACAAATCAAGCTTGTGTGTCCAAATATGGGAGGGAAAGCACTTCCAATCAAGCATGTGAGGATAATTATTTTTGTTACAGCTTTTTTTCAAAGGTCCTTATTGTTGCATCTGATAGCAAAGCTCACACCATCACTCAGCAGTACAATTAAAACTTCAAGAATCTGGGTCTTATGTTTGACACCTCAATGCGTTTTTTCATCCCAGTTAGATTACTCTAATTCCCTTTTCACCTGCCTCAGCATGTTGTCCCTGGAATGTCCACAAATGGTCCAAAACGCTGCTGCAAGGCTGTTGACCAGGTCCAGCTGGACAAGTTACATAACACCAGCCCTGTTTTTATTACATTGGCTCCCTGTCAAGTTCTGAATTCAGTTCAAAGTGCTCATTTTGACATGCAGAGCCCTGAATGGTCAGACAACCGTGTCCATCTCAGACCTGCTCCACTCTACTAGGCCACTTAGGTCCTCAAACCAAAGCCTACTAGTTACACCATGTGCACGTCTGAAAACTAAAGGTCAACGTGCATTTCAAGTGGTGGCACCGACACTGTGGAGCACGTGGTTGAAGTCTCTTTTATTTAAGACCTTGGTCTCGCCGTGAGCTATTTATTGTGTACATTGTGTGTCTTTAAACATCGTTGGTTTTATTGATTGATTACTCTGGTGGTTTATGTTTGTTGCTATGTTTTATTACTTGACTATTTTACCATTTTTTATTGATGCTGCTTAGCCTATGTATTATTGTAAAGAACCTTGTGACTTGCTCTGTGAAAAGTGCTGTATTAAGTACATTTTACTTACTTACTTACCAGCATGGCTTTCCCCAAGCATGTCAGATTCATACACCGACTGTGAGGCAGTGACCTATTAGGGGTGACTGTGTCCCTGTAATGATTCATTTCATCCCCCTCAAGATTTTTAGGTTATTATAAAAACTCTAAACATCTTTTTTGCTGGTCTTTAAAAAAAAAGATGTTAAAACTGGAAACGTAACTACCTATGTTAGAATGAAATGCCAGTTTTCCCCATATGAGGGCGATATTTCACTCGATGTTAGGATTATTTCATTCCTTTTCTTTTGGTACGTTTTATGACTGTAGAAGCAACTTTATGTTGTCATCAATTTCCCACTTATTGTCCAAAGCTCCTGAGAATGCACTACTATCAGTTATCTCTGCAATCAGCACAGCTGTCAGGGTCATTGCTGGTAATCACAGATGGCTCAGATAAATGGACAATTTGGATGATTTCCTGTACTGGCCTTTCAAACAACAATAAACTCTGTAGTGAATCTGGGCCACATTTTAAAGTAAGCATTTCTGGCTTCTTTTCTCTCATTAAAATCATTTTTAAAAGTACTATTACTTGTGTTTTACACACTTCTTTAGAGGAAAAACATAATGCGTATCTGATGTTAAAAGGAGGTTAAAGTTGGTTAAATTAACAATGGATCAAATGTCTTTGTGTGACATGAAAGGTTTCTCTTGTGGTGATGAATCCAAGAACGGGTGCACTACAGCCAAGTAGTAGTAGTAGTGGAGATGATAAGATGCTCAGCAAGACCTCAGAATGGCACTTTCAAACTGATTTCTCTTTTGGGTCTTGATCTGATAAAGAGCAGGATAGAGCATTTAGCAGCGAGAGAGCATGTTTCCCACAGGAGTTGTCTGTGTCTGCTTTCTAACTAAGCACCTGTCTGCAAAGAAGTTCACCATGTTAACTTAAAAGGTGGTGATGGTATGTCAGAGTTGTGTTGACAACTTGTTTCCATGGCCCCCAAGTGGCCAGAAATCAGTTATAGCAGGTTATACAAACAATCACTGCTATTTACAAATTCAAAGACATCAATTCAAGGGTTATTAATGCTGTTTCTCACTAGCTTGATCCACAAACCCTGGTGAAGTTTACTGATTCTGCAGCTCTCTTATGGCTCTTTTCACTGCACTAAATCTTTCTGTACAACAACGTAAGGAAAACTGTGGCTAACAGGTGCCATGTAAATGTTCCAAGGTGGAAGGAAAAGTGATCAGTATTGCAAAACACTTGTCATAACACTTGTGGTTTCATGTTATAACCATGTTATCTCTGTGGTTTTTTAACTCTTTGAGGTGTGCTTGTCTGCTAACTTTGTCTTTGGTTAAGAGAGACGTAGAAGTTTTAACTAGGTTTGGGACTGAAAAGAAAGGAAGGATCACCTCTAAAATAATAAATCAAATGTATTCCCTCTCCTAGAAAAGTTTCTATTGAAGTCAGCCCTTGCTTTTTCCTTGGACTTCAAACAGTTCTGGCATGGTTTAATATTTGTTTGTGATTATTATCACGCAAGGAAATAAGTCATCTTCAACACAAACTTAAAGCAGAATAGAAGGCATGACTTCACAGTGACTCTACAAAACACAATTGTCGTGTTTTTATTTGTTTGGGGGTTTTTTTGTTAATAAGGTCCTGTCTACAATGGAAGAAAGTAATTTACTCAACCACTTGTATATATATTGTGTATATATTTAATGGCATGTCTCTTGAGTTTTTAGATCTAATGCTATTTTACTCTTTTACTCCACTACATTTCAGAGGGATACATTCCACTTTTTATTCCACTACATTCATTTCACAGTGTCATGAATGGGTTCATGTTTCAGACAACAAAAGAAAATAATTTATCAAAGTAAACTATTTTCCAGAAACACTGAAGTGCGACAGTCCATGGATTGTGTGATGAAACAGTGTGGTGTTGCCCAAACGTAAAACTGAGTAGGAGAGCGGAGAAAGCTTCAGACAACTGTCTTTAAATGGCGCCATCCCAACAGCCCTGATGGCCCGCAATGCTAATGAAAACCATCCCTTTGCCTCTTCACTTCCTGAAAGAGGAAGAACTTAGTCAGATCAAACAGAAACCAGACTGAGCAGAGTGGATGGGGCTGTCACACCAGGAATGAGCAAGAACACCATTATCTGTATTTGTAGGATCTATATCTGTTCAACCAACTAAATTATCTGAATTCCTATCTTTACTTGGAAAGGGCAGGGCTGGAAAAAACTGGATGAGGACAATTTGGATGCTTTCCTGTACTGGCCTTTCATGCTTTCTGCAGTAGTTATTTAACACCATGAAACCCTGTAGTGAATGTAAGTCACATTTTAATGTGACATTGCATTGCTTCTGTTCAGTCACCAGAATAATATCTTTAGAGGGCAAAACAGTGGTATAATGTTAAAAGGAGGT